AAATCAGATAAAAATGGTGTAATTTTAAGAGGATATACAGATTCTGATTTTGCTGGTGATAGGGATAATAGAAGATCTACCTCATCTTATTTTTATACCCTATGTGGTACTGTTATTAGCTGGAAGTCTCAACTTCAGAAGGTAGTTGCTCTGTCCTCTACTGAAGTTGAGTACATAACTGCTACTGATGCTATAAAAGAGGGTCTGTGGTTAAATGGCTTACTATCTAAACTGGGATTTATTGATAATCATGCTATCTTGTTTTCTGGCAATCAAAGTGTCATTCATCTTAGCAAGAATCCTATGTTTCATGATCGTACTAAACATATTGATGTCAAATATCATTTTATAAGAGATGTGATTTCAAAAGGAATTATCAAAATTGGTAAAATTGCTACTCAATTTAATCCTTCTGATATGGGCACTAAGGTTGTACCTTTGCATAAGTTTGCTACCTGCCTGAAAATATTATCTGTTGATTCTATGTGATGTGTTATAGGTTACTTAGAGCATATGAAAACCAAAATGGGGAATGCTCCTAGCTGCACTGATGGTCCCAAATTTTGGTAGTAAGGTGAAGATTGTGGGTTTCGAACCCTGGGCTAAGAAGTTGTGTGCTACCAGAATTTAACTTAACAAAGGTGTGTTTCTATGAAAGCGTTTTTTTATCTCATTTCCATTACTGAGATGATGACACGTGTACTTATCTGGACCTTTGACTGAATAATCTAGAAGACCCTTTATCTTACCCTAAACGGTTCATTTTGGAGGATTCGAGAAACACACTCATCTTCTAGCTTTGAGAGAAATACTTAGGGTTTTCTTCTTCGTGCTTTCTCTGTTCAAATATCTGATTTGAGGCTGTAAATCGTGAGAGTTTTACTCTCTGATTGTGGTATTCTGAGTGAATATCTGTGAGAACTAAGGTTCTACTGTGAATTGTGTATTAGAGAAGTTCAGTGGAGTTTCTTGGTGATTCGTCCTAAATCTGTTCATGTATTTGTGAGATAAGTGTTCTGTCTTTATCTCTTTGTATTGATTGAACGATTTGTAACATTTGTTGTCAATTTGGGGTTATATAGTGCAACTGAGCATTATCCAACTTGTTGGATGCTCAACAGGGGATGCAGGCGTTTAATGTGGTCGTCGAACCTCCGGGGTTTAGACCAAACAATTCTTGTGTTGATTCTTTAATTTCTGCACTTTATATTTTCTGTTCTTTGATTTAATATTATGTGTCATGGCCTTACAATTAAGATCCATCCTTTGGGAGGATCATACATACAAGTTCTCCATCCGATATTTAAATTCTGTCAATGAACTAATAGTATCATCAAAATTCCGCCTATGGAAATGGAATTTTGACATGCAGATTGCTCGCTCTAACAATATCTATTAATTATGAGAATAGATATTTGACATCTAAAATCAATTAAAATTGTGCACTTTGGGCAAACAAAATCTCACTTAACTTGGTACAAATAAATTATCTCAAACAATTAACTGTACAATCAATAAATAAAATTCATCATGCAATGGGGAATTTTATGCAATAAGAGGCATAACATGATCCGGCAACAATTAAAAATGAAAATAATATTTACACAGCAAATGGGATTATAAAGACACAAATAAAATATATAAAGACAGTCTTAGCATGAAATGCAGCAGCAATTCACCTTTTGACACCAAATGGTTTTCTTTTATTAAACTGTGTTATAAGTTAAATAATTATCTTATTTTTCCATGACTATAGCCATAAGAGGAATCACATCAACCTGACATACATATAATAATAAAATATACATTTAATCGGAAAAACATAATAATCCACAATCAAAGCCCTGATACCGCATGTTAAATTTTTATATGTAAAAATCCAATATAAAGATTTTTAATTATAATGTTAAATCACAATTAATCATGCGGGATATAAAATAATAGGATTATACCTGAATTCATTATTTGTAATCCTTTCATAATCTGAAGAGTATGATCACCTTACCATGGTTAAAGGCACATAAATGTTGTTGTAGGTATAAACCCTTAAAATCTCTCATTTCTCTTATAATAATAATAATAATAATAATAATAATAACAACAACAACGAAGTTGTGTGTATCATATTCTTGTAGTTTTGTAGGAAAAGAAATTGTGAGAACGAAAAAAAATATTGTATTGTAAGGTTTTTTAAACTAAAACCTAAATAACCGCTAGTGATGATTCCTTCTCCTATCTTATTCTCATGTCATCGTAGACGTTTTGCTATCCCATGTTTAATTTGCATTTTTCTTCTCTCTTGCTCAATTTTTTTTATATATTTCTCAAATACGTAATTTAATTTAGATAAATATATAATGAAAGGTTGAAGATAATGTTGAGATGAAGAAGACAATTTATTTTTTTAATATGCATAAAGAATATTTTTTTTTTTCAAAGATAAAGATTAGAGACAATCACAACAATTATTTCTTTTAGCTTTAATATTTTTTAAAAGGAAAAATTGCATTATTTTGTCTACACCTTACTCTTACACTTTACGAAAGAAGATCCACAGTTTTTCGAAATATTTCAATTGGTCTCCATCATTACATGATCATCAATCGGATTTATGAACACAACCTGTGCATTTTAAAATCGAGAAATTTGAAACGAGACATTTTTTTTACAAGATGAATGAAAAATTGATAATTTTTTCTCTTATTTTAAAAGTAGAGAGCAACTTGTTACATATATATACAATAGGTGTACCAAATGTGCAATTTTCCAATTTCTGAATCAATTATTGTGATTACACGTGAAAGGAATATTTAGAATTGATTAGGAAACCATTATCGAAGAAAAATCAAATCATTTACCTAATCTGAACAACCTAAGTTATTACGTGGCCGCTATGTGTTGCAAAGGTATTTGAATCAACTTTTTAAAATAAAAATAAAAATAGATAATAATAAAAAGGTGAGTAGTTTGGAATCAATTGACACGTTGTAGTGAGGTAGGGTATGAAGGTTCGGCACCACGTCAGCGATCGCCACGTGTAGACTTCAAAATTGATCAAAATTAAAAATTTCGGTAGTAGTCAACCGACGTTGACGTCCGGTCCCCTTACGTGTCTCTATTTCTCCTACCCATTACCAGATTCTAAAGTGCTGGATTCAAGCTCACTCGCACAACACTTTGCGTAGTTATCACTCTCTTTGTTTTCTTTTCTTTTTTTGAAATTTAAAATAAGAACTCGACAATAAATATTTCTTCTCCGAATTTCTTACAAAAATTCTATATCTATTTTCTCCGCCCGAAAAATTTGATGAGATTGTCAATTAGTAGTCTCGATCAATCTCTATATCTTCAATAACTTCTACCTTTAACTATAGATAAATAAATTCTTGCTCACGTTCATACAGTTATTTTTACGCTTTCATTGAGTTCTCAGTGAGATAATAGAGTGTCGTTTTGTAGTAATTATCAAAACAATACATTATCTTTTAAATTGGGGGTATTTAAACTTTTTTGCATTAATTTGATTTTGATTATTTGATGATTTTCAATCATACATTTTTTGAAAGAAAAAAAAATTCATTTTCACTTTTTTCATAACTTTTTAATTATACATTTGATAAAAAATACTTTCAAAATTTATTTGTCAAACAAGTGCCTTATCGCGACTTGACGCCTTAAAGATGAGAGTTTCTAAATTTAAAATGCTATGATTTAAGTTATTATAAATTTGAAAATAAATTCTCACTTTTTTATCACACATTATTCAAAAAATCACTATTCAAAACATTATTTTTTTACACAATAATGACCATCAAACAAAGACTATATATATAAAATGATTATTTTACCTACATAGAAATTAATAAATTTCCAAGTTTCACATTGTGCTTCGTGTCAAATAATTTGGTAAATCATGTAATTAAAATTCTACATTTAAGGCATGAATTGCTATAAAACGTTTTTCTTATTTTTATGTATAATACTGAGCTTAGTCTCGATTTGATTTAACAAACAATGTATAAATGATTTATTATCGCCCTATTTGAGCCACATTATTTTTTTATTCTTATTCCTCTACTCATTTTTAACCACGCACTTTTCAATAAAATAATATTTTTCATCACATCAATAATTTTTTATTCTTTTTCAACCACATATTTTATATCACATCAATGGTAAAAATACATTCTTTTTCCAAAAATGTGCACTAAATAGGGGCATAAAATCAATTTAAATCAAATATTAATTTGAATTACAAATTCATAAATATTATTTATTAATTATTTACATATTTCATAGCGCTCACTATTTTAAATCTTTATAAATTTGCTAAACAAAGCTTAATTTATGTGTATTTTCTATTACCTTTTTTATTGAGATTTCTCGTAAAATTTTTAATTCTTATATTCAATAAATTTAGGTAAAGTGAAATCACGCGCCACGGTTGTGCAGGAGAGCATACCAAACACGATTCTCCTATTATGTGATGATGCCACGTGGTAACAATCCTCGTAATAAAGCATTTTTGTGTTTTGAAAATTACGAAGACCTAAACAGAACCATCAGACATTTTCACATGCGTGTCGGGAAAGGAAGTGGCTCCAACTATTCCGTGTTCGTCTCTCATTGGTCCACCTTTCACATAGAATCCCCTCAACACGTGCCTAGTTTAGATGAAGATAGATGCCAGAACGGCCCAAATGGACGGTAAAGATCATTTTGTCAAATTCAAAGTTTCTACGTCACACCAACTGTAATGCATTTCCCTCTGCCCTGACCGGTGTGGGGGCATCTGCCCGAACTACCGACCCCACCGTAACCCCCAGCTATAATTGATCTCTGCTCGTCTACAAAAAGCTTCATTTTACAGGCTCCTCTCTGGAGATTTTCGTATCTTGTGTTGGTTGATTTTGCTCTCTCCTTTTTCTTCATCAGCTTTTATTAATCAAAAATTCATTGATTTCATCGAAAATAATTTGGGGGTTCTTGAGAATAATTTAATGGCGGGTATGTGCTATGGATTAAATGCTGGTGAGACAGAAACAACAGCTCCAGTTGAGCCAAGTTCGAAATCCGCCAGGAGGAGGAGGATGGAAATTCACCAATTTCAGTTTGTACCAAACGATGCCGCGGTGGCTCCGCAGCTAGAAAACGGTAAAAAGAAGCGGCGGAAGATGGAGGCTGTTGCTCCGGTGTCGACACCCCGGCAGTGCTCGAACGCCGTCGACCAGCCCGAGACCACATCTTTGGATTTATCTGCATCGCCCTCGTCGTCTAGGATTGAGGCTGGCGTGGTTCCAGATTGCCCGAAATTTGGCATGACATCTGTTTGCGGCCGGAGAAGAGATATGGAAGATGCTGTGGCAATTCACCCATCTTTTTGCGGCCAAAACCATAATTTTCCAAGTGGGTTACATTTCTTCGGGCTCTACGATGGCCATGGCTGCTCACATGTAAATAATCTTTTTACCAATGCTTTGTTCGTGAAGAATTGCCTATGAACCTTTAATTTTGAATAATTTTGATTTGGGTGATTGTAGGTGGCCACCAAGTGCAAAGATCGGATGCATGAGATAATGAAAGATGAGGTCGAAACTGGGGAGGGCTCTTGGACGGAAATGATGGCTAGTAGTTTTTCCAAAATGGACAAGGAGATAACCGAATGGAGTAGTGGCGCAGCAGGTGTCTCAACCGCCACTTGCCGCTGCGAACTTCAAACTCCTCATTGTGATGCCGTCGGATCTACGGCTGTTGTGGCGGTGGTGTCACCGGACAAGATAATTGTGTCCAACTGCGGCGATTCGCGCGCAGTTCTTTGCCGCAATGGTGTTGCAGTTCCACTCTCCACTGATCACAAACCGGACCGACCCGATGAACTTAATCGGATTGAAGAAGCCGGCGGTCGTGTTATCTTTTGGGATGGACCGAGAGTTCTTGGAGTTCTAGCTATGTCTCGTGCAATTGGTAATTACTCAAAACAAATCAAATATTCTCGAACAATTTTTCTTCGTATTATGGGATCCTAATAGATTTTTATTTCTGGGCTTTCTTCAGGCGATAACTACTTGAAGCCTTATGTTATATCGGAGCCGGAGGTGACCATAACTAACCGGACGGCGGACGATGAATGTTTGATTTTGGCCAGTGATGGGCTATGGGATGTAGTGTCAAATGAAACCGCCTGCAGGGTGGCGCGTATGTGTCTTCAATCGCGTAAACCAGCATTGCCGCCGAGATCCCCCGGAAGCGACACCACTGTCACCTCCGGCGGAGAGAGATCTGATAAGGCTTGCTCGGATGCGTCAATATTGTTGACGAAGTTGGCATTGGCGCGAAATAGCACCGACAACGTTAGTGTTGCGGTGATTGATTTGAGAAGGGAGCATTAAGGAAAACTTTGGGATTTATTTGTATTTTTTAATAGCCTAAAAGCGTATTGATGTAGATTTCATGTAATATTCTTCTAAGGCAAATAGCCATTCGTCATATTTCTTTTCTAATTTGGATAGTTATGGGTTGTTTGGAATGTTTGGCCCCGTTATTCGCCATTTTTATTTTTTGAAATAGTGTTTTTTTTTTAAAAAAAATTGTGATTTAAAAAAGAATTTTTTTTTGAATTTATATGTAATATATTATTTTATTACAAAATGTGTGATTGATAAAAAGAAAGGAAAAATGATGCGAATTCACGTAGCAATTGAAGTTAAGAAATCCACGCAAAATTGATTCAATCTCAAGAAATTCAAGAATTAATGTTCAAGCTTAATTTAAAAATATTGAACAAAGGAATCAACATAAAATATTTTGTACGAAAATTCAAAACTTCTCTTTACTTTTTAACTACACATTATACGAAAATTATTATTCAAAATTATTATACGAAAATTGCGTGATTGAAAATGAGTATGGAAAATAATATAGCTCAAATTGGGGTTAGAAATAGAACATGTTTAGTTGTATTTAAATGCTAATTTTTTTGGTTTTTGAAATATTTAAGTTATTATATAAATAATTTTATACACGACACCTTGTTACTAGAATTATTTAGGGGACAAGTTGTGAAGGCAACCTAACTTTGGCCAAACATTGAACTGTCGCCGCACGTATCTTTCCTTAACCGGGTGACACGTTTCAATGCAGTCGCATCAAACTGAGGCTGCCAAAAAAAAAAAAAACTATAAGTGATNGCAGTCGCATCAAACTGAGGCTGCCAAAAAAAAAAAAAAACTATAAGTGATTGTCATTCATCCTCGAAGGAGTTTATTTTTCATACTTAATGGTGGTGGGACACGCGATGGTGCCTATGAATATTTAACAAGTGATTGAATTGTCTTCGAGGTTTGGGGTAAAGTGGTTAAGCACGAAGAAATAGATGCAGACCTGTCACCTCCCCATAGGAAAATAATTTAATAATAGAAATGAAGTACGTGTGTTTGATACATTATTTGGAGATCAATTGATTGTATGTGCTAAAAATATTTGCTTGATAGTTGTCAACTTTTAGCAAGATTCGTCTTCGACTCAAGCATATGTACTGGTTACAGGTGTACAAGATTGTTTTCGATCCAAAATAATGGACGTCAAACAGATGCAGTATTAATTATTTTTCATGATTATGTGAGTCTGCAGCTTCATTCTCTAAGAATATAGAACTTGTGGTAGACTCTTTTTAGGACGAATTGTAGCTTGGGATATAGCCACCCAGCACGTTCTCACTACATACAATAAAATCTTGAAGTTGAAACAATCTCTTAAATCATAGGATAGATTATTATCTTCTCCAAAATTGCTCATTGTCCCTCTATTCCTCCCCCAATCATGCTACATGTACATAATCATTCACGCAATCTTTTACACTCCCCTCACATGGAGGGGAGGGTCCCACACACAATAAAATATTCGTGCACACTATTCATGTGAGACGGTGTAAGTACACCGGTGTACAAACAACTTTATCCTTTCTCCCCCAGTCTCCCAATGGTTGGGGACATCGTACCAAACAAATTGCGACAACAACTAGGTGCAAACCTCACAACTCAAAAATAGTTTTAGATGGTAACAAAAGTAATAATATCCTATAATAGTAATTTAATTTTTTTAGCGATTGCTCTTTTTCATTCATACCACTTCAATGGACTCTCTTAATATATTGCAATACTGGTCTTAGGAATGGTAACGGGGCGAGGGGCCATTAAGAAATTTCCTGCCCCGTCCCCGCCCCGTTACCCGTTTAAGGCAAGGCGGACGGGGCGGGGCCGGGCCCCACGGGTTTGTCGGATCTCTAACAGGTCTTTAGTATCGAATTTCAACTAATAATATGAAAACTGCACTACACATTATTTAAGAACGATTTGAAAATTATGAAATTTCAATGTTTTATTATTATTGCAAAATTATTTTTTATTTGATAGAAATTGTATATTCAACTGATGTGTTCACCAATTGTTAGATCAAAACACTTAGTGCGTTATAATTTTTACAACCTCTCACATGAAGATGGGACCCACTAATTACATGTAGTAAACGAAAGCCACGCAAGCACTAGTGCTCCATCAGCATTTCCATTCCCATGGGTCTCTTCTATTCTTTTCCCAAAGACAAAAGATGTTAGAATTTTTATAGAACTTTAAACCTCAAGAAATTAAAAACCTAATTACTTAATTATCAAAATCTTCCATGTCAAACCACCAAGAGAATTTTTAAATGCGAAACATACCTTAATTCATTGGAATGATTCTTTAATACTGGATCTTGATTTTGAATCTTGAATATTGGCTCTTTTGATTCTTGAATTCTTGATCTTTATTTTGGCTTGTTGCTTCACAATCTTGTCTCAATTCCTTCTTTTTGATTTTTGATTGTAGATTGTGTGTTCTTGATTGTGAGTTTTAGATCTTTATTTTGAATATGTTTCTCTTGTATTCTTGTATTGATGCGATAATGCAAGGAATGAAAATCGTATATAAATTGGGGACCATAACTCCATTTATATTTTCATATGTATCGGCTCATCGTCAAATACAACTTTAATGAATCTGATCTCTACACATATAATTTAGCATGCACTTTATTCAAATTCTTAAATCCCATGACTTTAATTATTTATTAGATCAGTTTAATTCGACTTAATCTTAAGATAGTATTTAATACACACTTAATTACATACGTAGGCCAATATAACAAATTAATACCCAACAAAAGATGCCACAGTTCCGTCACCTCATCCGTCCACTCTTTTGAAGTGATGCAACATGACAATAGCTGTCACATTGTGACTTCGAG